ACGGCACCTCTCGGAACCCTCTGTTGTTCCTCGGACCAAGCTTGAATTGGTCCGATAGACTCGGGCCGTCGGGACCCTTACCTTGAGTTATATGAAAATAATACCTCGAGCCTTGAAATTTTCATGAGCGGTCTCCGAGTGAGGGTTAGCTTTAGGCACCTGGAAACTTGCATTGAACTTGGTGTAGATAACCTTTAAGGCGTTGTGGATAGGTCCCAGATGAGGGGTTGCCCAGATTTAGGCAATATCCTGAGGTCGAACCCTTATGGACGGAGCTCGAAATGCTTATTTTTCTTCTTGAGAGGAGCCTTCTGGGTACTATCTCGAATCCCGCAATGGTGCTAAAGGCTTCCTGGAGCCTAACTTCCTTTTGGCGGAGGTCCTTGAGGTCGGGTACCACCTCGGGGCTGGAGATGATGCCGTTGGCTTCTTAAAGCCTAGCTTCTTTTTGATGGAGGTCCTCGAGGTCAGGTACCACCTAGGGATTGGAGATGATGTCGTTAGCATCTTAAAGTCCGGCTTTTTTTTATGGAGATCCTCAAGGTCGGGTACCACCTTGGGACTGGAGATGATGCCGTTGGCCTCTTAAAGCCTAGCATTTCCTTGATAGAGATCTTCGAGGTTGGGTACCACCTCGAAACTTACGGCGAAATCATTGGCCTCCCGTGACCTAACTTGGCCTCCCGGGGCCTAACTTTCCTTTGAAGGAGGTCCTCGAGGCAGGGTACCACCTCGGGACTTGCGGCGAAAGTCGTTGGCTTCTTAGGTAGGCGGACCGCTCTTCATATATATAGGGTGGGTCGCTTCTACTTCTTGGGAGATCCCACTATTTTTAGATAGTTATCCTTCCGTTTCGGCGTTGGGCTTTTCATTACCTTGGCGCTAAAGTATTTGCATAGGTTCTTGCTTTGGTTCTCTAGTCCCGCCATAGCCATGACTGCTACATCGGGGTCTATCCGGCAGAGAGGGGAGAGTTTCGCTCTCGGTGCTCAGGATCAACGAGAGTTTACCTTGAAGATTATTTCTTCGATAAGAGAGGAGCACCTTGAGTTAGTGAGGAGAGACTGCGGATGGGGGGAGAAGGTAGCGCTACAGGTACTTTCCCCAGATGAGGGCATCGCGGGTCCTGCCGATGGATTCCTGAATGTGTATGGGTCCCCTTGATAGGGTTGTGCTTGACTTCTGCTTAAAGTACCGGGTTACCTTGGCGCAGATACACCCGTCGTTTTGGCGAATAGTGTTGATGATGAGGTTCTTTGCGGAGAAGGCGGGGCTCGAATTCACGCTCAGTCATCTCGTTAGGTTGTACCAGACCTTTCACCACCGAGGTCTACTAACCTTGCGGTGCCAGTCCGCCACGCCCTTCGTTGTTGACGATGAGGAAGATGGAGATCGGGAGTGGATGAGTCGGTTCATTCGGGTCCGAACGGCTGACGTTATCCCCGTGGAACTTATGCCATTCCCCGAGGAATGGAACTATACACGTAAGTGGTACATCCCGCGCCTTCCCAAATTTGTTTATGGAGAAGGCTAGTCTTGTAACCGTGTTTTTTCCTTTTCTGTAGCGGTTTCATGGACGTCGGGAGACGTTCCTGATCTGCCTGGTTGGGTTCGGGAGTTGTCAACCCACTCGACTTTTGAGGAGCGCAAGTGGCAAGCTTCATCTCGGGGCAGATGGGAAATAAAACTTCTCGGTGTGTGTTTGTACAACTTTTTCCTTTCCCTTCGTTCATTTGGAGAAACATTTTTCCTTCTCTGTATTAATATTGCTGCCGTAGGTATCGGAGAGCCTTCTGAGGCGAGGCCGTCCTCCTACGGAGAGGGGGAGGGGTTTCCAGCTCCTGGGCTAAAGAACGACAATAATAAGCGGGATATGCATTCGCTGGGCGATGGCGCTCAGAGTAAGGCAAAACGGTGCCGGGGCTTCGAGACAGAAATATCATCTGAGCCTGTCGCGCCTGTAATTCCTGATTCTGGAAAGGTGGTTCCTCCGAGCGATCGTGCCTCGACCGGAGTCGATTCTTCTAGGGCCAAGGGAGCTAGATTAACAGATGTGTGCTTGGCCTCCGAGGAAGTTCGACGGCTTCACTTCGCGGTGAGTTAGACATAGGCCTTTTGAATCCCACGTCTTCCTTTCCTTATTGAGTTTTCCTTTGCAGGCCTTTGACAGGCTTAGGTCTGAGCTGCTTCATCATGGAGCCCGGCTCCGGAAAGCTTTGGATGAGGATAGATCCTTCAGGCTCTTTTGCGAGGAAAAGGAAGTCGAGCTGGCGCACTTGCTATATGAGGTGTGCCGAAGCTCGAATTACGAGGGCTACTTGATGGAGTAGGTAATCTTCTGTCCCGGGTGAGTGTGCATTCCGCCTTTTGGCTTCTGAGGCTAACACTTCGTCTATTCCAGTTGCAAAAAAAGACGGAAGCCCTGGAACGTCTTCGGGAAGAAGTTGACCGAGTCAAGAATGACTGTGACGAGCTAAGAGTTCGGGCGGAGGTTCAAACTTCAGAGGAGAAGGGTGCCTTGGCTAAAGTTTCTGCCCTCGAGGTTCAACTCCGCTTAGCTCGTGATAATGCTTTAGTTCAAGCGAATATGATCACGAAGCTTAAATCCGTGCTTCCGAAGGTCAGGGCTGAGATCGTTGATGCCTGGACCGGAGCAGTGCTGAGTCGAACTAAGGCTGATCAGGAGATGGCGACTTATTTAAAGGATGCTACTGATGTTCAAGCCGAGTTGAGGAGGATCCTCGATCGCGAAGAGAGGATCAAAGAATATGCTCATTGCAAGACTCGAAGAAAGATTCTCGAGGAGATTTGCGCTAGGGGTTTTATCCTCTCGGAAGAGTTGGCGCGAGCGAGGGCGGACGAGCGTGATGCTCGAGGTTTCGGTTTGTAATTTCGGTGTTTCGGTCCAAGGATTGTTGCTTTGTTTAGCCCGATTGATTTGCAATTTTCAGCTTGGTTCATCAATAAAAGGTCCATTTCTCAATTTTCGTTCGCATTTCATTGTGTTATGATAGCTTGGTGCGCGTGTTGGTTGATTTGTGATTCTCGTTGTTTGAGTAGTATGTCTTAGTTTTTATTTATATTGTTTTAATTAGTTTTTATTTCGATTGTAATGTATGTAGTCTTGGTTCTTGAATAAATGCTTTTAATTGGGGTAGATGGAAAATTGGAGTTGTTTCTTTCTTGGTAAAGAATATGAATGGGCCATAAGGTGGATTTTGGACCATAATGAATCTGGCCAAGTAATAGATCATGTTGGCTAGCCTATTTACCCCAATAATATCTTGTCCATAAATTTAACATCACAACAATCTCAAATATTAGAAAAAATAATTAAATGCGCTAGTTGCTTTAGGTGCGAATAGTAAAATTATCACGGCTATGGGTACGGTTCCCGTGGCATGGTCGTGGTACATAATTTCCAAATCTGGGGCTACATTTATGTGACCCGGCCACAATTTCTCATAATGTTAATAAAAATACACAGGTTGTAGATTGTGGGTACGGTTCCCGTGACACGATTCACAATGTGTACAAAACAAACAAGTGCGCGGCATTGCGACTTGTTCTAAACATATTCCATAACAATTAAAAGCGGTTGAAAAGCTAAAAATGCACAATAGGTATATAATATATAATTAATCAGATAATTAGGCCAGTAATTAATAGTTAAGCGACCGTGCTAGAACCACGGAACCCAGGAATGCCTAACACCTTCTCCCGGGTTAACAAAATTCCTTACCCAGATTTATGTGCTCGCAGACCATAAATAAGAGTCAACTTTCTCGATTCGGGATTTTAAACCGGTGACTTGGGACACTATAAATTATCCCAAGTGGAGACTCTGAATTTGATATAAATAACCCCGTTTTGGCTATTGTCACTTTAATTGGAAAAACTCCCTTACTACCCCTTCGGGCGGGTAAAAAGGAGGTGTGATAGCTCTGGCGACTCTGCTGGGGACAAGAACCCGGAACTTCTGGTTCAAGGTTCAGAATTCAAGCTTAGAATAACTGTTAAAGTTGGCTTTTGTTTATTATCTGATTTTCTATATGTTTGGGCCTAATGTGCTAAATGCCGCTTTTTACCGCTTTGATATTATTTGAATTGTTCAGGGGAGAGATATGTGTGAGTTTTCTCTTATAAAATTATTTTACCTTCTTTAGAATATGCTAGAGTCTCAATCTACCATAACATCATGGAGTTCCATGGAAAAGGTGAAGAAGTAGATTTTAGGCTCTCTTTTTAATTGAGGATATTTTCATTTAAATTTTATTTTCGATTAGAAAATGACTTCCTTTTTTGTATCCGTAGTTATTTTTCAGTTACATCTTCAAAAAACAAAAAAGCTATAAAAATATGGCACTTTTTTTAGGATGATATTTTACTTTAAAGTAAACCCTCCGCCCTTCAAAAAATGTAAAAATAGCACGGTATAGCTAGTTTTTGGAATGGTCATTCAAAAATACCTAGCGTTTTCCAAGTCAATGAAAAATAGTCACTATTGTGCTGCAATAGAGGCCGGTCCAGCATAATATACTGGAGTTCGGTGCACCTGTGTATGAACTCCAGTATATTATGCTGGACCGGTATACTTTGCTGGCTCCAGTATAATATACCGGAGACTGGAGCACCGGTGCTCCAAACTCCAGTATATTATACTGCACCAGTATACTTGCTGGAACTCCAGTATATTATGCTCGAGTTCTAGTGTACTTATGTTGGAACTCCATCATATTATGCTGGAGTTGCAGCATACTTATCCTGGAACTCTAGTATAATATGCTGGAGTTCAAGTATACTTATGCTGGAACTCAAGCATAATATACTAGAGTATTTTCCGGGTTTTGAACAGTGTTTTCGCTCAGATTTATCTTTATATACAAAGTGGCTAAATTTCGATTACTTTTGAAATTGGGCTATTTTTGAACGACCAGTCCTAAATCTGGCTATTTTTAAATTTCAAAAAATAGCTAATATTATTGCGGAACAGCCCAACCCTTTGCTCATTGCTGTTTCACACTCCTTGCTCTTACTTCTCTGGCGGCAAAAATTGGACATCTTTTGCCGAATTCGGCGGCAACACCGTTAGTTACATAGCTGAGGAGTAACGCACTACTCTGTGAGTTGGTTTCTATTGTAGCATAGTAGAAGATATGCCGAAAGGTTTATTTCTTCACTTAATCCCTTTTTCATTATTACTAATTATTAATTAATAGTAATTTATTTTTGATTTATAAAACTTGCATGTGAAATTTTCAGAGCTTCCTGGATTTTACTATGATGCGGAGAAGAACAGATATTTCCCTATTAAGGGTCCAATTCCTGGCTCTTCTAAGAAACGAAAATCCCCTCCACCACCTATTCCCTCCAATAAGGTAATTATTATGGCTATTTTCGCTTTTGCTCTCATCAGGTTTTTGACCAGTAGTTTGCTTTACGTTTTGTCCAAAATCAAATTGAGATTCTTTTTCCATGGCGAAATAATAATACTCTTTACCAGCAAAGTATATTACAGCCTAGTAGGACCATGTGAGTCCAGGGTTCAAATCCCAACTAAGACAAAACAATTGTGTTCTTCGCATCTGCTGAAGCACTGGCGGGAAATGTTTACCCGATGGTGCACATAAGGCGGCCGAGACACCACTGTTTAAAAAATAAAATGAATACAATTGTAAGAGTTTGAGCTATTTGCTGTCCTAAATTTATTTAATATTATATGTTATTGAGAGCTTATATTAACTTATAGTGCACTGTATTTGGAAGAAAAGGGAAAAAGAAAGAGAAAAGTTAAGAAATCAGATCCAGGTTTATGTCACAACGGTAGGAGTATTAGGTATTTATAAAAGGGCGTAAGGGGCTTGCTTTTAATTGCCAGTAATAAAGATTATGTAATAGTGATGAGTAATAAATATTTGTAATAATAATGCCGTAATCACAAACACTCAGGAGAGAAGCTCAAAATAGATACTCTTACTGGGAGAATGATGCAGTAATTAATATTTTCAAAAATAGTGCAGTAGTAGCAAACTGTCAGGCAGAGAAAGCTTAAAGCAGATATTATGACGGGGAGAATGCAAATTTTCTAGGGCAAGCATTCTTTGAGTTTGGTTGTGTTATATTGAGGAATGTACTTCAAGTACTACCTTTTTCTTGAAATTTCGCTTGATTCCGAGAAACTTGGTCAGTCCGAATTTATATAGCGAACCACAACTTGTTTGGGACTGCGGCGCAGTTGTTCTTTGCTTGATTCTGATGTAAACTAGACATACCACTTGTTTTGGTTATCCTTCAGTTTTTAATTTGTTTTAGGAGAAGAAAGCCATCTTTGGAAATTTGGAAAGAGCAAAAGTTGCTTTAAGCCCTTTAATTTTGCCGTTATGGAATTGGTCATTATAAACGTTTATTATACAGGAATGAAGATTTATCAGGTTACTTTTACTAAGTGAACTAAGGAAAATTGTGGAAGCATAGCTAAGTTGTTACTTCACTTCAACTACTCCCTTTGTTCTATTTTAAGTAATGGTATTTGATTACATATGGAGTTAAAGATATAAATTTGATGTATATCTCTTCATTTCATTCTATGAATGCATTTGACTGAGCACACAAATTAAGAAAGAAAGAAAGTCATTTGACACACAAGCTAAATATAGTGACACACAAAAGTACCCTTAAATCATGGTTTTTGACATGCCATGCCATTTTTATAAGAGTGTGTCACTAAAGCAATGAGATCTTTTTGATAGGTAATAAAGGAGTACTCCGTTTGTTCAGTATTGTTTGAACCTTTTCGGAGTACGAGTCAAATTTTGACTAATTTTCGGTGTGAATTCAGACGCACATTCTTTAAGTTTTTTTGAATAAAATTTACATAATTAGAAACTACATAAAAAGTATTATAAATCACAATAGTTAACAATTCAAAATTTTTAAAAATTATTCGCAAAATATATAGTCAAAGAAAATCTTTTTTGATTCCCCAAATAGTAATAGGTTCATTCTTTTTGAAATGCAGCGAGTATTATTTGTGTAAACTAGCAAAAGGGGAATGCTAGTGAAAAGTATGTCCAGAAAGAGCTAACAATGTTATCCTTCTTGTCTTCAAAGACTCTAGCATTTCTCTCTCCAACTAACCCAACAAACCACAACAGCAATAGAGTTCCGCCTCAGGAAGATTTGGACATGTCATTTCTGTGCCAAGAGAGAAATAAGCACTAATTGATGCCCAACGAGTTAATGAAGAAGTGCCAAATCTGGCAAGAGAGTTTGCTATGGAGAAATAATTGATTAACTTCTTCCTCATCTTCTTCTGAAAGAGAGAATCTGTTGCATATGATAATGCCTCTCTTTTGGAGATTATCAAGAGAGAGACACTTTCCTTTTGCAAACGGCGTGGAGGGAAACATTTAATTCTGTAAGAGGCATTCCATATAGATTTTCATAGCCAAGAAATAGAAGAGGATGGCGTAATTGGATAAACATAGCAACTCTTCACAAGATACCTTTGTGGTGGGGTTTCAAGTAGATAGAATCTGGAATGGAAAGGGAGGGGGGTGGGTGGGTGGGTTAAGGTTGCTAAAAAAGGAGGTTCAACTAATGTGTGAAATCTTCGAGCTCCCCATTATTAAGGTTTTTTCTGAAGTGGACTAAGCATCCTTCTGCCTCACATTTTTGAATAGAAGCATAAAGGCTAGAAATACATCCGCAAGAGATTAGAAGAAGTAGATTGAGAGAAGTAGAGGTGGCAAAATTAACACATTTATGTGTAACCCGCCCAAACTTAAATAGGTTGGGTTATAAGAAAGGGAGGATGAAAGCAACATGACCATGAACTTATATCATCAAGAAGACTGAAAGGCTTTATGAAAGGTTGATTGAAAGTGTACCAAGTTTGACCAGTGTTGACCGCATGTTTGACCAATGTTGACCACGAGTTGACCAAGACTTGAACATCACTAGAGTTTCCACGATGACTTAAGTAAGGTCACACATACCCCTCTAGCCTCACGAGTCCTTAAGTTATGTTAGGGCAAGCACTTGGAGATGGGCCCAAGCCCATTATTTAGCTAGTGGTATTAATAAGGGTAACATAGGGGTTTTACATAGATAATAATGACTTGCCAATAAAGAATTCTCTTGAGAGAGCCTCCCTTTGTGAGAATATTTTTACCTCTTCAATTGAACCTCTTTTGGATTTCTCTAGTAAGTATTCATGTATGAGTTCGATTTCTCTTCCTCCTTGGATTGATTTTATTGCAGACGAATTGCTAATTAGTGAGTTCAACGATATATTACTTTGGCTCTACAAGTTGCTTCTTCTATTGGATTCTATGCTTTCTTTATAATTATATCTCTATGCTCCGACGACTTTCTAGTTTTTGATTTCCTTGTGCTAAATTCCGTCTTCAATATGGTAAGCTAATTCAAATCAATCGTCTCTTACATTGTAGGAGAAAGACAAAGGGAAATGCACGAAATTGAGGAGCAATAAATTACTCAATGTTAGGGAGTTGTGTGGTAAAGTCATTCCATCCAGAAAAGGAAAATTGAATTTTCAAATGGAATTCCTGAAGAAGCAAGTATCATGCCCTCTAGTATGCTCCCTGTATCTTTAATCTTGACTTCATTTTGCACGTCCTTGACGTTGTGTATAAATTTGGAAATAGTCCCTAGTTGACCTTCCATTTTATTGGTTATTTTCTTTTGGTTCATTAGTTGAATTCCTCGTACATGAAAATTGACAAGGAAAGGCTGAGAAAAGTGGTTTTGGTTCAGTTCTAAAGAGTACTGCTAGTGCAACTGTGTAAGTTGGTCATGATCATTTAATCATGCACCCTTAACCTTCGAGCATAAAACAAAGATCATGTTGCATTTGATACAAAAACAACCTGAAAATTGTGAATCATATATCAGGATCAACAATCAAACAAAATATTCAAGTCCTCATATTTATGCGTGAAAAGAATATTATTGATGTATTAATTATAATACAAAGACCCCTATTAATAACTATACATAATACATATCCTACTCCTATTCAATGTGGGACTTGGACTACAACAATAATCCAGTGTAGCCCCACAAGTGGGGTCTGGGGAGGGTAGAGTATACGTAGACCTTACCCCCCTGCCTTTAAAAAAGTAGAGAGGCTGTTTTCGGTAGACCCTCGGCTCAGGAAGGAAAAAGGGGAGGGGCAATAACAAGCAAACCAATCTGACAACCGAAGCGAAAATACGTAATTAACACCAAGTAATGCAATTAAAAAACCGAAACAAGGCAGCAACAAGTATTAACAACAATCTAGGGATAAAAAAATACACGAAAGACACTAAGGCCTCATTTGTTTGCACTTAGTGGAGGTCTGAATCTTAATCATTCAGATCTCAGACATTAAGTGCATTTGTTTTTAAAGTCTGAATCTTAATCATTCAGATCTTAACCATTAAATGTGTTTTTTTTTACTTCACAACTACTTAATGGGTCTGTATGATTAAGATCTATAACATAGACTTAATTTCATTAAGATGCCGCTCCACCACCCTCTCCCATACTTCCATACTGTGGCTCAGTAGCTTGATATCCGATAGTTGTTGCAATTTTGGATATCACCCCTGTTTTAATACAACGCTCTTCCAAAATTCCACCGGGATATCATCTGGCCCGGTGGCTCCCCCCTGCTCATCTTACGCATAGCCCTCTCTACCTCCTCTAACTTTTATACGCCTACAATACCCAAGGTTCCGACGCCCTTGGAGTGTTCTAAGTCACCCAACACAATGTTCTTATCCCCCACTTCGTTCAAGAGTTTATGGAAGCAAGTCTCTCATCTCCGACGAATAAGTGCCTCATCCAGCAACACTCCACCGTCCTCATCCTTGATGCACTTCACTTGGTCCAGATCACGGGCCTTCCTTCCGCGCACCCTGGCTAGCCTGTACAACTTCTTATCCCCTCCCTTGCCTGCAAGTTCTTCATATAGGCATTCAAACGCAACAGTCTTCGTGGTAGTTACTGCTAACTTCGCTTCCTTCTTAGCGACATGTTCGTCCTCTTCTCCTCCTCGTTCGCGCTCTCCAAAAGCTTCATATATGCTGCTTTCTTGGCTTTCACTTTACCTTGGACCTCAGTGCTCCACACCAGTCCCTTTTGCGGCCACCAGAAGGGCCCTTCAAGACCCCTAATACCTCCCTAGCAGCCTCCCTAATGCAATTCGCAGTGACGGTCCACATACCACTAATTACTTACTCCATCCGTTCCAGTTTATGTGAACCTATTTCCTTTTTGCTTCGTTCCAAAAAGAATGACCCCTTTCTAAATTTGAAAATAATTTAGCTTAAACTTTCAATTCTATCCTTAATGAGAAGCTTTTATAACCACTCAAATACTCTGACATGTTTACAACCACAAGTTTCAAAACAATTATAGCCATACAAATATTATGACTTGTTTAGGACCACAACTTACAAAAGTCTTCATTTTTTTCTTAAAGTCCATGCCCAGTCAAACAGGTTCACATAAATTGAAATGGAGGGAGTATTAATAACATAACTATTTAACGCTCCCGTTTAAGCCGGTGCATCCAAATCATATGTATCGAGCTTGTTACAGATGTAACTAATACGAGGACCAATGAGGGACTTGGTGAAAATATCTGCAAGCTGATCATTCAATTTCACAAACTTTATAGCAATATCTCCTAGGAGTATCGAAGTGACAATCAATCTCAATGTGTTTAGTTCTCTCACTGAACGATGGATTCGATGTAATATGAAGGGCAGCTTGATTCCCCTTGAATTCCGTCTTCAATTTCACTTTCCCTAGTGGTAATGGTAGTGGTTTCAATCGTGAAATTTAGGAGAATCATCTCTTCCTCTTTATTGCTCCACCCTTGAACAGGTGATGCAGTAATACTAAAATAGCGGTTAGATTCTCGAAAGATAATATCCCTGCTGAAAAAGGATCTCGTAGAGGGAGATGGTAGTATTTGTACCCTTTATTTGTTGAAGAATACCTAATATAGACACATTTAAGAGTCTAGGATTATCTTTTCCAAAATATCTTAACTTGAACAAAAACTGTTGAATTTGAGAAGAAGAAAAGACTTCTTTATATATTTCAATATCTGTACAACCTTTGGACTAGGATATTTATACAATCAATCCTATCTCTAATTTAGGAAAGACAATCAAACTTGAAAGACAATAATGCTAATTACAATCAAATAAAATAAGATCACTATAATTAAGCTAATCAAATAAGATCCCTATATTAAGCTAATCAAATCCCTATAATAAGCTAATCAAATATTCAATACTCCCACTCAAGTTGGTGCAAAGATGTCGCACATCCAACTTGCAAAGCAGTGTATGGAAAGTCTGTTTGTTGAGACCTTTTGTAAGTACATTGCTAAGTAGTTAGTCATGTATAGTGTCCCACATCGGGAAGTAGATACCTATTTATTATGTAATCACTGTATATATATATATATATATATATATATATATATATATATATATATATATACAGGGCATTATACGCACTTTAGATAATCAATAATATTTTCTCTCGTGCTTTCTCACATGGTATCAGAGCATTAGTGAGAAATTTATCGCTGTGCATCATTCCAGCGACTTTCGGAAAGAAAGACCTCGTTGCCATGCAATTTTCTGGCGACTTAGGAGGCTGTCCGCAACAAAATCCTTTTTCCTTGGTGTTGTGCAAAATCCAACACCACCCAAGGTCCCTAAGACAGATGCGACCAAACCCCAGAAAAAATCTCCGGATAGGCCCCTCCACGCGCTCTCATGCGCCGGTCAGAGAAGAGTTTACGGCGGTGCATCTGTCCCATGCGCCGACGCGTGTACCTATTTCCGGCCATTTTTTGGTCGACCTTCTTTAGGGCAGCCTGATCGCGAGGCTTTTCTGAGCCTATCGATCAAGGTTACATCAGATTTCGACGACTTTTTAATTTTCCAGCGAGCTACAATGTTTTTCGGTGAACAGTTACAATGAACCACTAAAGGTGAACATTAACAGTGAAGTAGTGACAAAATGGGAACCGATACTTTGAATTGTTGGATGGTTTCTTTAGCGGATTATATTGAGTTCCTTCAGTACAAAGTATGTAAGCGGACATCTTCTGAGATAACTTTTGCTGTTCAAACAGGTAATAACGTGTCTCCCAATCTTCATGCTCTAAGTCTTGGATCATTGATTCAGGTGCATCGGATCATATATCTGGTAACAAATCTATTTTCACTACTATTTCGTATTCTCAATCTCTTCCAACAGTCACAATGGCCAATGGGTCTCAAACCATGGCAACTGCAATAGGTCTAGCAAGCTCACTTCTTTTTTTACCTTTAGATTCAGTTCTTTATATTTTCAGTAGTCCTATTAATCTCATAGCCGTTAGTCGCTTAGACAAATCACTTAAATGCGCTGTTTTATTTCGTGATGACCTTGTTTTTATACAAGAACACAGTATGGGGCGGATCATTATTACCGGGCATGAATCAAATGGACTTTATTACCTTATCCTTGCTAAATCACATGGACTCACATCTTGTCTTCCTTCAACAACTTGTCATGTTATTGATTCACCGGATTTGTTACATAAACGGTTGGGACATCCTAGTTTGTCAAAACTTCAGAAAATGGTACCCGGTTTATCTCACTTGTCCACTCTAGAGTGCGAGTCGTGTCAACTTGGTAAGCAACATGCTCCCATTTCCCTCGGCGTCTTGATAATCGAGCAGAGTCACCTTTTACTTTAGTCCATTAAGATGTTTGGGGTCCTAGTCGGGCAGTCCTACCCTAGTCTAATCATAAAATCGACCAGAAAATTGTAGCCCTTTTCTTTTTTAACCAATTGCTGAAAATGAATTGCATCATTACTACACTTTGCTTAGAGATCCCGATATTAGTCAATCTACTACCATAACCCGCTTAACTCGGAGTAATAATCAATGATAATCAACCCACCTCGCTTAGTGACACGAATTTTATTCGAATTTAAGAGATCTGGGCATCTTTTCCCTTATCTATACTATATTAAAAGCACGAGTTAAATGCCACCTCCTAGAATTTGTGTTGGAAAATGGATTCTAGAGAGAGAAGCTCCTACTTCTCTCTAGAATCTAGAAAGTTAGAAAACATGTCTTCATCAAAGCTGCCTCTTGGCCAGCCTTAGAACTTTGGGGAAGATGTCATCGAAAGCTCGACGTAGGGCAGGAGCCGCATTTCTCGTTGTCTGAGGAGCATACTCTCAGGCGCAAGGGTTTTGGACTCTTGTTTGATTAGGTCTTTCTCCAAATCGGTTGGTTATCCAGAGGCTGTTAGGAATTGGCATCAGAGGAATGGAACGTCAAGACGGGCTGATAATTTTGCCATCGGGGACACACAATATCTCTTTCGCTTTGTCGATGAGTCTCAAGCTTCAGAAATTCTTGTTAGAGGAAAAAGGTGGTTTGATGGGAACTTCCTAAAGCTAGACAGATGGTGATGGGTGTCTCGACCCTCGTTTCTCCGGTGCAACGATGGTGGTCAACATGGTGGGTCTCCCGGTGCATCTTTGGTGTCTTGACCTATTCAAGAAGGTTGGGAAAATCTGTGGGGGTTTTATTGATGTCACTTGTAGCTTACACGATCGTTCGCGAGTGAGGATTGTTGTGAGAAAAGGGGGTAGAATCCCGCTCTCCACTGTGGTGGGTAAAAGGGGCTCGCCGGAACAGTGGTCTCAGCTAGAAATGGCCATTAGATCGAGAAGAGATGGGGGGTTTGAGTTTGGAAGAAGAAGACAAAATTTTAACAGGAAGAAAAGACGAGAATGCCCCTGGGTTAGTGAATCGGGCTGGAAAGGCAGATTGGGCCGGTCCTCTTTTAATAATCATAGGTCAGCCCACGTCTCAGGAGGAATAGGACTAGTCAAAAATAATTTTTTCGATATGGAGAAAACTTTTTTGAAACCTGGACTTTTAGAGATGAGGAAAAACAGCAAGCTCTCTAACCTTGGACCTCAAAATAGAGAAAGAAACTGCTGACCTTCGCGGGAAAAAGGGACTGACACGCCAAAATCTTTAAATTTTTTTCGCTGGAACTGGTGCATGACAGTGTAGTGTCGCTGGAGCCAGAGATTTTAGTGGCGCGTGGCGGCGCATCAGAGGTGGTCTCAGGCAGTGGCTTGCTGGGATTTGGTCTCCATCATCAGATGGAGCTTGTGGTGGTATTAGTTTCTTTTTAATACTGACAGAAAAATATACAGATGTGGACAGCTTGAGTGAGGAGAAAACCTCGACCTCTTTCTGAAAAAAGGGAACCCTCGTGTTGTGAGAGAGAATCTCACCTTCAAAGGCAGCAATGGTCAAACCCCTATAATCAAGCTATTACATAAAATAAAATCTTTCTAAAAATAAAGCCAATCAACAATAAGGGAAATTTATTGTATCCTTGCTCTTTTCTAACTCCTCATTGTCCTTGTCTTCGGTTTTTTAATGCGTTGTAATGTACATTCAGATTTCGAAGTATGATGGGACTCAAAGAGTAGTTGACAGTGCATTGGAGAACTCGACTGTTGATATAAATATGCCAGAGGGCCTGCTGGAAACTGATATACTGTTGACAGGTGGCATGAATGGCTCATTGTGGTATGTCTTCTGTTCTAATTGAAGCTAAAAGAGTAACCTGACTGGAGTTGGATGCGTATCATTTTTATGAGTATGGATGCAATAGTTTATAATTGCTTTATAATGAATTATACCATGCATCAGTCTGAAGAGTGAAGAGTCTAATAGCGTATTCTCAGTTTCCTTGTTCAGGATTTTTAAAAGGTTACATGCTTTTTCTGAGCTGCTAATTTGTTCTGAGGATTAAAGAATTGCTATGGAGCTCGGTACATATGATTTATATGCACCAGCTTAAGGGGGAGTGTTAGTTTGGTAGTTAAATAGTAGTAAATAACCCTAATCCCATATGTATTAGGATTTAGGAGCAGGACATGTATTTTTATATATATATATATAGGGCTCATTGTATCATTGTCAATACATGTGAATAATATTTTCTCCCGTGCTTTCTCACAAATGCCATCTTTTGTCGGGGAAAGTGGTGATGCCTTAAAAGCTTATTTTCAGTTAAATGGATCAACCTTGATGTAGAATTACTTTGTAAACTGGAAGGTTCAGGATTCATGTTTATTAATGGGGTTCCCATTCACAGTTCATGATTGCATCTGCAAACCTTATCCCGTGGGCTTTAGCGGACGTTTTTCATTCTTCACCTGGTCCTTAGTAGCCTTTCCAAAGTCAACCTAACCGGTTACCTTTTCCAAGGCACTAAATAGGCCTTCGCCCTTACGCCTTTATATGTAATAGAAGAAAATTAGATAGTTGTATAAAGAATTAGCCAGATCGTTTGAAGCATGAACAGAGTCGCCTTTGTTCTGAAGGCCATCTTTGTGCACTTCTTCATTTCTTTGAGTTCTCCCTTAGAAATTAGTTGACATTCTTTTTAAAGCTGGATCTCCTTATGATAAATGATTATTTACATAGGGAGTTTTACAATGTGTTGTAGATTATGGATTAGGTTATAATGTACTTGAATATGACTCATGATAAAGCATAATCTGAACCCAGCTTCAGTTGATAAGTTGATCTTGCATTTTTACCAAATTATAATGTTAAATTTCTCATGCTAAATGTTTTACAATCAGATATGTCTGTTCAAGTTTGTGGTTACAGTTTCTTTTGGAGCATGGACTGTCTTTATTAGCAAACTTCAAATTTTTGTGATCCATACTTGTTTGATAGATCAGTTCTTGTTGAATTCATAAAGGTATGGAACATCTTTTCCATTGCATTGTTTTGAAGTCCAGTGCTTTCGCAGTATATTTGAAGTTGGAAAGGTTGAACAAGAATTTAATCAAGGAGTAAAATGCTTGCCAGATCGTGTTTGGCCTCTCACTGTCGGATACCGAGAAGGGTACTGCGACTCACCAGGACATCTCTGGAGACCTCAAGGAGCTTTTGTACATATGCCATCAAATATATCTTGTATAAAGACGTCTCAAAAGCATCGGGCATCCGTTAGTGAAACTTCTTTAAAACATGTCCTGTATCCTTTTGCGGGATTAGCAATTAAAAGTATATAACCGCAGAAAATATGTTTGGTTCCTCATTGTTATATTGTCGTCTTCAATATTAAAGTAAGTGGGCTGGTCTGATTTTAGTCTTTGGTGACTCATACTACACCTTTGTTTTCAATCTGCGCATTGAATTTGTCGGGTATATAAGATTGTACTTGCCTGTTTGTGTAGATTTAATAAAGCTGCTTTACTGTTTGCTGGTGCAAAGCATTTGTTTCATCTTCCTTTGATCCATTTTTCTAATACTCTGGCTGTCAAAAAATGGTTGTTATCTACATACCTTTTGAGTTTTTCCGAAATGTTGTTCGCTTTCTGTAAGTAGTATTTTTTCCTTTACTTTTTGGAAAAGGGTCATATTTGTCCCTCTACTTTCTGGAATTGTTCATACTACCCTTCATTTCACTATTCGACTCTATAATCCTCGTCGTTATATATTAGCTCTAATCTGCCCCTCATCCGTTAACACCACTAGGGCCCACCAACTAAAGGGACATGTGGAGGGCCAGGAATGAATTTTAGAGACCCGATTCATTTGTCCATCAAACATCCGACCTAACCCATAACCCGAATCTGAAAATGAACACAAATCATCTTTTTCTTTCTCTCGCATTGGAAATTCTAACTATCCATATGCAATTCTCTCTACCTTCATTCTCCCCTTATCCAAAGCAACTCATCTTTCTCTCTATCTCAATGGGCTATCAGAATGGCAACAGTTCAATAATGGAATCAAAGCCTTTAACTCACTTCGCCAAATTGCAGAAACCCCTATTCACAGATTTCTCCTCAAGCAATGGCTCAAAGAGGAACTCATCCTCAACAGCATCACCACCAAAGAAACCTCAATAGATTCAGTCTACTACAAAAATTGCAGTACAGTGGTGGACCGTGAAGAAAATACTAGATTGGTTGCATTTTCTCATTTATGCTTTACAACTTTCTTTACCCTGTGTCTTGCGAAGTTGTAAACTGAAAAAGCTTTTGGCTTCTGAAATCATGTAGTAGTAGAAGAAGAAATTGATTCTGGAGGTCAAGGGAAGTTGCAGAATGTAGTGTTCTTTTGGTTTTTGGGTATTCCTTTTGCTTCTTTACGGTTTATGATATCTTATTTGACAATATATTGTTAAAGTTTTTTAGAGTGTCAAGCAACAAAAAAAAAACTACCCATATGAAATTCACCGTATTTAACGTAGCATCATTGTTGGAATCCTGTAATTGACCCTCACTAAGACAAGATGATTTTTTGCTTTTCGGAAGAACCCTAATTTTTGCAACAAAGGTGATGAAGTAATAAAGGAGGGGGAAAGATCTGTATTCGGGTTATAGGTTATATATGGCTTTGGGTTAGGATAAATAACCTGATATATCCGAATATGAATATAGCCTCCACATGTCCCCTTAATTGATGGGTCCTAGTGGTGTTAATGGATGAGGGGTAGATTTGAGCCAATGTATAACGGCGAGGGTATATAAAGCCGAATAGTGAACAATATTAGAAAGTACAGGGGCAACTATGACCCTTATCCGTTACTTTTTCTCACTTCTTGTATATTGGAGTACTAAGTAGTTAAGTAAGACTCGTTGTTTATTCTTGTAGTCCTTCAAATTTGTCAAAGGTAACTGTTATCTTCCATTTTATGCTTGTTGCTCTTTAAGAAATTGTGGAGGTCGAGGATTATGGTAGAAGGATAGCAGGTAGTGGAACGTACTTCTTTCCCATACCAGTAGTATTAATATTGCTCTTGTATTTCGTTATGCTTAGTTTTCTTTTACTACATGGTGTTTCTGTTTCTCATTCCTATTCCTATTCTTGTTTCTTTCGCTTTGGTTGATATGTTATCATGCAGTTGTTTACCGCTTGCTGCTATTGCTATTTCTTCTTTTTCATCTTTCCTTAAGTCGAGGATCTATCGGAAACCGCCTCTCTACCCTCACAAGGTAGGGGTAAGGTAGGGATTACACATGGTTTGTTGTTGTTGCTCTTTGAGAAATTGTAGTTTATCCACTCCACTCTAAACACGATACCTACTCAATGTAAGACAACTAAAACGGGATGGAGGTCTTATGTTCTTGTTACTCTTGTTTCTTTTTTTTTTTCCCTGTTTTGGAGAAAGGTATCAATAATTTGTTGCTGTCACACTTGTGACACTTAACGCTAGAGCCCAGTATAACAACTCTGGGAGCTGAATCATCTGGTGGAGCAGTCTACATTCTGAACCTCAGTGAACCACTAGATTTTAGTTCAAGCATACCAACTTTTAGAAGAAGAATTTCTATGATTACATCGTTTGAGCATACAGTTTGGGCAGCAGATTGTAGTCATGATCAGAAACGAGCAGTAGTAGGCAAGTTCTTTACTTTGTTTTTCCTTCATTTGCGGATTACTTTATTGAGCCCCTTTGCTAATATAGGAATCCAACTTTGAGAAGGATTGGTCTTCATAAATCAATTCCCCTGTTTACGTATACGTGGTTTACCATGTTTACTCTCTCATTTGAAGTAAATTCTGCTCTTTCATGATCGAAGTTGTCTAACTTAATTTTAGATAAAACTATGGGTTGTGTCTGTTTAATTTATTTGTCCTGCTTGTTGTTTGAAGTTCCAGGAAAAGAGATACCTTCTTTATTGCTACTTTCTTATGTCTTGCTTAATGTTATATAGGAACCAATAGAGGAGCTGGAATGTTGGACATAGAAACAGGAGTGAAATCCTGGGTTTGTCGGTCTAAAAGCGACATTTTCTCCATACAATTTGATAATTCGGTAAATGTCTCCCACGCCATCCTTTTTGCTTTAAGTACTTATTAATACATTAAAGTGTAATAAGTTCAAAGAGAAGTTATAATCTTGCGCACCTTCATATTGGCAATTGCTTCAGAAGATTTTAAATACACCAATATTAGAAATATTGTTGTCTGTTAATGAATTATATCCCTATAGGTAATGCTGATTATCTTTTGTTGCCAGAGTTACATAATTAGTCAATCCAAAGCTATGCACATTGTCACATTCATTTATGTGTCTTAGAAACTAAACTATTGGTTTTTCATAGAAAAACCATGAAGAAAATGTAGTTCGTAAGAAAGGAATGTCGCTTTTAGGACAAGCTTATTGTAGGGATATTTAAACATACAGTTTCAGTGGCTTACCTTTTATTTCCTGTTTATCCCTTACTTTTTTTTTTGGGGGGGGGGGGGGGAACTGGTTCTAAACTCGGATCTCTGGCTGTTTTCCTTTTTCTTAAGAAAGAAATAAGGTCCTTTTCTTCTTGTGGATAACAGTGATTAGTAATCCTATGAAAACCAACCTTCTTCCTTTCGTGGTACATACGGATGTGGATGTGTTATATGCCTAGCTTCTTCAAACATGTTTGTCATCTCTAACAAGCCATTCACTCTATGAATTTCTGTGAAATTGGAAATGAGAAGGGTCCCTGGAGATCAGCTGTGACATTTCTTATGCATCATGGGTGGTGATGTTTCTGACATCGTGTTTTCAAAAAATTTCTTTTCTTTTCAGGAAAATGTTGTTTTATGTGGGCTAAGAAATGGAACAATTTTGGCCATCGACACCCGTCAAAAACCAGGAGATTTTTCTGGTAGACTTTCTCTAAATAGAATTCCGTGCCATCGTGATGGGCATTCTAGTAGGGTTAAAAGTGCTGCTAGAGATTCCTTCCAGGTATCAAATGCTTTTGTTAGGAGAGTGTGTACATTCTTTTCTTTCTGCGAACTGCCCTCCAGCCCTCCACATTTGCCAGAGCAATAATGAACTTCATCTGTTTCAAATTTGGACATGGTTCGAGTTATATCAACACATTAAGACGAGCATTTTGAAACAGGACACAATTGTTAGGATGTTTCGAGTTTATTTCTGAAGCATAAAGTTAAATCCCACTTTGTCATCGGGCGATCAAACATTTATCCTCCCAATAAAAAGTTTGAAAATGCTCTCAGGCACTTTTCCTGAGGTTACTTTCTGTAGTCTCTTTTCGTTATATCTACTTTTTCAGGGGGATTATCCGGCATCTTGACGGAAGCTTTTCAGGTTTCATATCCATAGTTAATTTTTTCATAAAATGGGTGAAGGCAGGATTTATTGCAACTCAGGTCTTAAATCCTATGAGATTACAAGAAATAGCTTGGGGGCAAATAGGGTTCGGTTGGGTCGAACGCAACAGGAATTTAAGGAGGCAGCTATTAGCCTTAAAGTCTTGCAGTGGGTAGTTTCTGTATTTAAGATGGCATCTAAAGAACATAGAACGACAGTGAAGAGGTGGGACATGAAGGATCACTTTCTAGAGTAATTTTGCACTCTTAAATATAATGAACACGGTAGGTACATCAGCTTTATTGCTATACCAGGGGATAAGAAATCAGTCATTATTACACCAGAGTTTGAATTTAAGGAGGGCTGGGAATCATAGCCCAGAAAATTGTCAACTTCATTAATGTGCCAAGCAGGGAAAAGGAGCCAGGGATCTTCAGGAGTCATCAGAATGAACTCTCCTACGAGGAGGCCTTCAGAACAATCAGATGGATGACAGAGAAGGTAAAAGCTTCGCTGATCAAGAGTAGCAGCTCCAGGATTACTATTCCTGATGTATCAAAAGTCTCAGATGGAGATTTACTGGGAAGATGCATCATCGGCAAATTTTAAGTTCCTCCACAGGAAGCTCCAATCTTGAATGATGCCAGAAGATGGGCTTGCAACACATGGAAGTCAGCATTTGGCATCAACATGTATGAGATGAATATGCCCAATTCATATTCGAACTCTCATCGAGGAAGGTAGCCGAGCATGTACTGTCAAAGGAATGGTGTTGGAAGAAAGCGAAGCTAAAACTCGATTGCTGGTATTCGACCACTGGTTGTCGGCCTAAAGAGGTGGAGAGAAACTGGGTTTGGATATGACTATTAAGGATACCTATGAGCCTATGGTCTCAGAAGGTAGTTGTCACGACCCGGAATCTCACCCTCGGAATCTTGATGGGCCTAACATTTCACTTGCTAGGCAAGCCAATGTTAGCTAAATTACTTAACCGGTTTTAAGAATTTAAGATCAAAACATTAATAATAACAAGCTGTAATAATTTGAAATAGGCTAATAAAATACTAAATGACAAAGTCTAAACATATCCTAGAATCTGGAGTCACGAATACATGATCATCTAGGGTACTATAGATAAAGTCTGAACAAAATACAATTGTTTGAAGCTAAATAAACAGTAAATACTAAGTGAATAGAGGACTTTAGGGCTGAGGAAGTCTCCTAAAGTAGCTGAATCCGAGCAGTCTGGATATGCGCCGCTGTGACCCACATCGGTATCTCTACAAGAAGTATAGATAGTAGGAGTACAACCGACTCCATGTACTCTATAAGTGCAGAGACAAACCTCGACGAAGTAGTGACGTGGCTATGGCAAGTCACTTACAAAAAATAACCTGTACGAAATAATAATAATAGAAAAAATAGAGAAAGCAATAAAGTCATATAAACGGACCCGAAGGTCAACTACTAGAGAGCCCAGAATAACGAAGTCTCAAGTCTCATATCACACTACCGAGGATAACTCAATAATCACAAACAATTACAACATATCAAATCCGTTTCGGCGCACAACCCGATCCCACCATATCATCATCATCTGTTCATATCATAATCCATCCTTATTCTTTCATATCATTTTAATACCTTTCAATTCCGTTGTGGCGTGCAACTCGTTTCCCAAACAATTTCAAATCATAAACATAAACAATTCAACTAGAATATTTACAAAATATCAACATCAAGAAGGTGATTGTACAAGACTGTAAAGAACCATAGAATAATCGGAGGATATCTTACATCTCGAAATCTCAAACTTTACCAATTCATCAATAGAAATGAGATGACTCTTTCTTGAACTATATCATAAACAGATCTTCCCTTCCACACCAATCACGAGTTTTCCTCTCGTAGTCCAAAGCTAATTCAATCGTATCCACCTTTGAGGAAAAGAACAATTAAACAACTCACATAAGGAAAGCAACATTATAGAGTGCATCAAATAATATAAGAAAAATAAAAGCAGGTAAAACATGTGACAATTGAAATATACGATTAAGGCAAGTAGAAACAAGTAGCAAATAAACAGAAATCATGTGAGGAATGAACAAATTAAAGCAAGTAACGATTAAAACAAGTAACAATTATAACATAGAAGTCAAGTAACGACATGTAACAATTAAAGCATATAACAAGAGATATCATGAAATAAACGAAAACATGGAAATAAATATCCAAATCCCGCATGCTAAATCCCATGACGGCATATATACACTCTTCACCTCGCATATATGCCGTTTTCCCACATAATTCACATAACAAATAATTCAACAAGCCCTATTTCCCTCAAGTCAAGGTAGGCAAAACACTTACCTCACTTCGTGAACAAAGCAATCAATCAACCATGGCCTTGCCTTTTGAACAAGCCTCCAAACCCACCAAATCTAGTAAATTATCGATCAAACGATTTAAAATAAGCTTTAGAAACCACCCATTAATGAAAGAGGTTCAATTTTGATATTTTTTGAAAAAGTCAACAACCCTGAATCCGCTTGATCAAAATCCGATATTCGGATCAAAATCATATTACCCATTCATCCCCGAGCCCAGTTATGTGATTTTTTTTCAAAATCCAACCTCAGTTTGAGGTCTAAATTTCAATTTTACAAAATCTTCAATTTCTACCCAAATCTTTAATTTCTACCATGGAAATCCTAAATTTGATGTTGAAATCTCATGAAAAGTATTGAGAATCGAAAGAAAGTGGATTAGTGTGTTTAGGGCGTTTGAGGTTGAGAAGTGGTGTAGAATGAGCTAAGTCCTGATATTCCCCTCTTTTACCCAGTTGCAAATGTTGCAATTGCGATGTTTTGTTTGCAATTGCGAGTATAGCAAATGCGAACTTTGTATTAGAAGCCCAAGTGTCGCAATTGCGACAATTTGATTGCAAATGCGAAAACCCATCCTTCGCAAATACAGCTAGATTCTTCGCAAATGTGAAGATGTCCTATTTTGCAGGCGTCGCAAAATGCTCGCAAAAGTGGCCCTAGCCAGTTCCCAAATGCGAACCATTTCCTAGCAAATGTGAGGTTACCCGACCCAAGCCCTGCTCGCAAATACGAACTCTTGTTCGCAAAAGCGAGGCTCGCAAATGCGAGCCAGACCTCGAAATTGCCATATCTACATCAGACACCAGAAGTAACACTTCATCAGCACTCCTCAAACTTTCCAAACTCATTCGAAACTCACCCGAGCCCCTCGGGCTCCAAACCAAACATGAACACATGTGTAATAACATCATACAAACTCGCTCGCGCGATCGAAATACCAAAATAACATCTAAAACTACAAATTGAACATCAAAATGAATGAAATTTCGGGAAACTCAAGAACAACTAGGATCACAACTGAGCGTCCGAATCATATCAAATCAACTCCGAATTGCAATAAAATTTGCAAACAAGTTTCAAATAGTAAAACAGACCTATACCAAGTCGCAACATCAAAATCCGAACCTGATAGCCCTGAAGTCCACCTACGATCAAACCTAGGAATTTTCAAACTTTCAAATTACTAGTTTTCAGCAAAATGAGTCAAATCACCCTAGGAACCTCCGATTTCAATTCCGAGCAAATGCCCAAGTCCAAAATCACAATAGGACCTACCAGAATCGTCAAAACACCGATCCGAGGGTGTTTACACAAAATGTTGACCGTGGTCAATTCAAGTTGTTTTCAAAGCAAAAAATCATATTTTCTTCAAATTTTCTCATAAAATCTTTTCAAAAAGCAACTCAGGACCACGCGCACACACCAAGGAACATCAAACGAAGCTAATGTAGGTCTTAGAAATCAGAATCAACGGCTAGCACTCAAAACGACCTATCGGGTCATCACAGTATTCAAAGGAAATCGGGTGGCTTAATTATTTGGAAAGACTTGATTTCCTGTGACTCCACAACTTTTGTAGTGCACCTTTTATATATAAAATTTGTTACTATTGTCAAAAGAAAAAAAGTTAGTCATTTCAAGTGGATGTCAAGTCAAGACAACCAAATATAAAATTACAATGCTTGATGTAAGACTAGGAAAAATTAAAGGCATGACTAGGAGCTTATATCATTTAAACATAATTAATTATGGAAATTGGTATAGTTGTCCCGAATGTGCAGCAATGGAAGTAATCAAGGGGGGACTTATTAGTTAGTTCAATAAGATAAAAATTACTTCATGGTAATAATATCAGTTTCCATTTACATAGGGCCTTGTGGGCTATGAATCGGTAGTGCAACTCTTCGAGCAGTAACAGGAAAGCTTATATCATTTGCACATGTTAAACTCATTGTTATTGGATTGCTTTTCTCAAATGTTGCAGCAAAGGAAGTACTCAAACGGGAAATTGTTCAGTTACTTCAAGAAGACTCCTGTATTAATATGAGTTTCATTTAGGAATGGCCTCATAGGCTATGAATATTCTGCTATAATCATGTTTGATGAATTTACAAAAGCTCCATGTTTTGTAAATGAACGCTTATACAAATGGGTGGATATCTTTGTCCGTACAGATCAAAGGGAAGATGCACAACACAATATCTATGCCTTCATCTGTCTGTTGGTTAGTGAGCTTTCTTTGCACTATTACATGAGCATCTGTAATCTCTTTGTTTAATATGTTCATAACATCTTTTTAAAATATTTTGTCCCTTTTCTGATGTTGCAGTTTGGTACCTTTGGAACTTTATGATCAATGTTTCCTGGCAAGCTCTATGGATGGATCGGTTAGTGTCTTAATGTGATTCCTTTGGCCATATACTTGGTTGTTCTCTGCGCTGTTTTTGCAATCTTTGATGACGAGCATTAACTTGATTGTTATCCTCTAGTGCCAGAGTCTATCTAGTTTCCTGCTCTCTATCAACCTTAGCTCTTTCAAATTGTAAAAAAATTTTCTTTTAAAAAAAAGAGATTTTTTCTCCTGATATTTGTGTGACTAGAGGCTTGACATCTAGGTTTAGAACTTTTTTCTCCGGATGGTTGAAATTGTAGATTTTGAGAAGAAGAAAAGGCTTTTTGTATTTTTGTGTGTGTTTACATCCCATAAGCAAGGGAATTTATACAAAGCTCAACAACAACAACAACTACTACCCAGTAAAATCCCACATAGTGGGTCTTGGGAGGGTAATGTGTACGCAGACCTTACCCCTGCCCCGATAGGGGCAGAGAATCAATACAATCAATGCTAATTAAGGAAATAAAATAAATACATACAATCAATACAACTATCAAATCAAATTAAATAAAATCAGGATAAAATCAGATCCTTTAAATATAATTAATTCTCTTGAAATCATGCTAATCGATACTCCTAAATCAAATCTCCTTGAATCATGCTAATCAGTGCTCCTCCTCAAGTTGGTGCAAAGATGTCGCACATGCCCAACTTGCAACTCAAAGTATGGAAAGTCGCTTGTGAGACCTTTAGTAAACACATCAGCTAGCTGTTTTTCCGATAGTACATTAAGCAAACTCAAGATACCAGTTGTAACTTTTTCTTTGATGAAGTGTCGATCAATTTCCACATGCTTTGTTCGGTCATGTTGGATTGGGTTATGCGCTATACTGATGGCAACTTTATTGTCACAGTACAAGTAAAGTTTTCCTTTTGCAGACAGTCTCAATTCCCGTAGTAACTTTTTTAGCCAAAGCAGTTCGCAAACACCCTCGGCCATTGCTCTATATTCTACCTCCGCACTTGATCTAGCAACTTCACTTTACTTCTTGCTTCTCCAAGTAACTAAGTCTCCTCCTACGAGTGTACAGTAACCGGATGTTGATCTTCTGTCATCTAGAGATCCAGCCCAATCCGCATATGTAAAGGCTTCTATTTGGAGTTGATCATGTTTGGAGAAAAGTAGACCTTTCCCTGGAGCAGACTTCAAATACCGCAAAATGTGAAAGACAACTTTGCATATGAGGATCTCGTGGATCATGCATGAACTGACTCACCATGCTAACTGAATAACTCATGTCTGCTCTAGTGTGAGAGAGATAAATGAGTCTTCCAACCAACCTCTGATATCTCTCCTTATCAACTGATTCTCCAACTCCGCTTTGTAACTTGTGATTGCTTTCAATGGGTGATATCTTCTCCAACTCCGCTTTGTAATTTGTGATTGCTTTCAATGGGAGATTTTGCGGGTCTACAACCTGTCATACCAATTTCCTTCAAGAGATTCAGAATATACTTCCTTTGAGAAATAAAGATTCCTCTTTTGGATCTAGCAACCTCCATTCCCAAGAAGTACTGCAATTTTCCGAGATCCTTGATCTCAAATTCATATGCCAACAACTTCTTCAATCGGGCCATCTCCTCTTTGCATCTCGTATCATTACTATGCCATCAACATAAACTATGAGAAGAGTGAGTTTACCCGTTAGATGTCTCATGAGGAGGGTGTGATCATCATTGCTTTGTTGGCAACCGAAGGAGATCATTGCTTTGCTGAATCTGTCAAACCAAGCTCTAGGGAATTGCTTCAGTCCGTACAAGGCTTTCTTCAATCTGCATACCTTTCCTTGACTCCGTGTAGTATCAAATCAAGGAGGGATCTCCATTTAGACCTCTTCTTCTAAGTCTCCATGAAGAAATGCATTCTTCACATTAAACTTTTGTAAGTCCCAATCAAGATTAGATGCACAAGATAAAAGAATTCTAATAGTGTTCATCCGAGCAACAGGGGCAAATGTCTCTTGATAATCCACTCCATAGGTCTGAGTGAATCCCTTAGCCCCAATCTTGCTTTTAATCTTTCAGTAGAGCCATCACCTTTGTGCTTCACAGTGAAGACCCATTTGCAGCAACCCAACTTCTTGTTTGGTGGTGAAGTGACAAGTTCCCAAGTCTCATTTTTCGACAAGGCGTTCATTTCTTCAATCATTGTTTGCTTCCATTTAGGATCTGCAAAAGCTTCCGTCTAATTTTGGGGAATAGACACAGAAGAAATAGACAAGGCAAAGGCTCTATAGGAGGGAGACAAAATTATAGGAGACAAAGTTAGATAAAGGGTGTTTGGTGGTGCAAGAGCTGACTCCTTTTCTGTGAGCACTAGGCACATCTAACTCATTAGGAAATGTAGATAACTTACCAGTAGAAGAAGGTTCAGCTTCGGTAGATTGCATAGTGGCTTTTTCTGCCCTATTTCTCCTTGAGTAAGTTTTCAATAGGCCTATCCAAACTCCCAATAGTCTCCCCCTGAATTCTTTCTCCAATTTCATTTCCCTGTGACAGTATCATCAAGAGGTCCAGTAATGGAACTAGTTAGAATCACCTCTTCCTCTATATTGCTCTTCCCCCGAAGAGGTGATGAGGTAGTACTGAAATAGGGCTTAGATTCTCGAAAGGTAACATTCATGCTAACAAAAGATCTCCTAAAGGGAGGGTGATAACATTTGTAACATTGCTCTATCGGAGAATACCTAATGAAAACACATTTTATAGCTCTAGGATCAAGTTTTCAAGAATTTCTAGTGTGGACAAAGCAAACACACCCAAACATCTTTGGAGGAACAATATATTCATTCTTACCCTTTAAAGTTTCCGGAGGATTTTGAAAATTAAGGGGTTTAAGTGGCATTCTGTTGATAAGAAGCCGCTAGATGCATGGTGAACATAAGAGATCTTGCTACTTCTAACAGATGCCTATTTTTTCTTTCAGCGACCCTATTTTGTGCACTAGTTTAAGGACAACTAGTCTGATGTGGATTATCCCATTGGACTCCAAATAAGCACCAAATCTTTTATCCATGTATTCTCTGTCATTGCCAGTTCTCAAGATTTTTATTTTGGCATCAAACTGAGTACAAATCATCTTATGAAATGACCGGAAACAAGAAAACTTTAGTTTTGGCTTCTAATAAATTTACCCAAGTCATACTAGTGCAACAATCAATGAAAGTAACAAACCATCGACTACCAGACAAAGAAACAGTTTGGGTAGGACCCCATACATCAGAATGAATAGTCGTAAACGGAGTTGTGCTTCTATTATCACTCACAGGATAAGAGTTTTTAGTATGTTTGGCATATTCACACGCATCAAAAAACAAAGATTCACATCGAGTCCTTGAAAACAAATCCGGATATAACTTTTTCAAAACAAAGAATGATGGGTTTCCTAACCGTCTATGCCGCTGTATTATTTCTTGGTTGACATCCTTATTTTTCCCAAAAAAGGCTTGATCAGAGTTTTGATTTCCATCTAATATATACAAGTCCTCACGCAATCTACCTCTGCCAAACCATTTCCCTTTTGAAGATCCTGAAAAATACATTGATTGGGAAAGAACTCGATTTTACAGTTTAGTGCATTGGTAATGGCTCTACCAGAGAGAAGATTGATTTCATAAGTGAGCATGAAGTTGGAATTGAATAGATAGTGAGAAAAAGCGCCTTTTGTTTGTTTGTTGGAATCTTCTTCTGTCAGGGAACTCAAGGACATGGAGCACGGATGATAGTTTAATATTGGAGTACAAACGACAGAACCTGTTCCAGGGACAGGTGGAAGAACCATTGGCTATTTTGATATTATCTCCTTTGGGACACGGAGAATAATTTTGAATGTCTTTAGAAGAGCTTGTCATGTCTATTTGCACCAGAATCAACAATCCAAGAATCAAGGTGAGTAGCAAAGGCAGTACCTGATTGCACATGATTGGATGTGGCAACATTAGCAGAGTCAAGTTTGGCTAGGAGGCGACGAAGAAGCTGAATTTCATCCGAAGACAAGATTTCTCCAAAAACCGTCTCCTTGAATGTCTCCACGTTTCAGAAGGATTGCGGATAGACACCAAGAGAATCATGTCTATACAATCTATCCAGCTATCAAATCAAATCAAATCAAAATGAAATCAGATCTCCTAAATATAATCAAATCTCTTGAAATCATGCTAATCGATACTTCTAAATCAAATCTCCTTAAATCATGTCACCATAAATAAAACATCGTACTCTAATGCAATATATGAAGAATTATGATAACATCCTTGAAGGGTTTTCTCTTTACCTTGATGGCCTGAAATCCCAAGTAGTCTTGTCTCTTAATGTTTGTGTCTAAGTTGCTCTGACATGACAAGTTTGGTACTGCACCTGTGTCGACACGACACTAGTATATGTGTGAGTATGGGATCTGTACCGGATCTGGTCAAACAATTTTGGGTAATTTGACCACGACGGACGAAAAAATTCGAGATGAGATACAATTTGATTCCCGAAGTCAGAACCAAAACTATGGTAAATTTGAAGAAAATAGCATAACTTATCTAGGAAATCAATCCTTTAATCTACAACTTGAGAATAAAAAAGAAATCCATACTTTACAAGCTATACGTAAGTAATTCCTCAAAATTTCTCATAATTTAGAGATGTTTTTATATTTTTGAATTATTTTTAGCTGGATCCCCTCGCCCGTATTAGGATCCGTATCCCCGAATCTTAAAATTTACATCTTGAAGGATCCGACCTCTAGATCCGCGCCCGTATCGGACACCACACCCGTGTCCGAGCAACTTAGGTTTGTGTTAAAGGGCTGAAGGGATTATTGTGGGAGGTGAGTGTGTTACGCATTACGTGTCAATATCTTGGTGCATATAAATTGAGTGATTTGGCAATGAAAAACGGATCACTTAATTAGTCTGTCTAGTACGTGTGGATTATTTTGTAACATTGACATATGTCCAGATAAAGCTTTATGATCATCGTCTAATGAGGGGAGCCATCCAATCTTATGAGGGAAATAACAATTCTCATAGTCGAATACAGCTTGGAGTTGACCCATCAGAAACAATTGTCATGTCAGGTAGCTATGGCTTTATGACTCTTGTATTGTTTATCTGTGTGCGAGAAAATGTGAACTACTTTCTAAAGACATTCTTGCCAGGTGGAGAGGACTATCAATTGCGGCTATGGAGTATGAAATCTGGCGAATTACTATTCGAAGATAAATTCATGGATACGATCCCCACAGTTGTACGCTGGCCAAAAACTGAAGGTATTACCAGCCTTTGCGTCCATATTCCTCCAAAAACACCTCTTTTCCCATGATAGAAAATGTCCAATTTCTAACATGTCGCCCAGGAGTGGGGAAACATATGCAAGGTGCATGGCTTGGATCTGAAGAAGGGTTGTTTTTCATGGACTGGCCTTGAGGCTTGTGTTCTTGGTGATTTCTTACTTGGAGTATCTAGAACTTTGCACATACGTCTATCACCTGAAGATGAATTGATACAGACAGACAGTAGGCTTCGTCGGCATTAATGAAATCGAGTTTAGGTGAAACTAGGAGCTGAGACTGAAAATCTTGGCTTGCCTCAAAGAGCTTCTTCCTTCCGATATTATGGAACTTACAGAAGAGTAGCCCTCTAGAACTGAAATATCCAGGATTGTAGGTTTCAACTGAAACAGAGTGTTGTCGAATTTGTTTATTAGATTTATTTTATTTTAGTTGCTTTGGCTGATTATATATCTTCTGGTATTTTATGACCTGAAGCATTGTTTATATTGTTGGCTTGTCAAGCATAGGCAGCTTAGCGTTCACTTTTTTGCGTTAATTTGGGTTGGAAGATTATATTTGAAGAGGAAAAAGTAGATGAAGGAATAAAACTTGAGTCAAACGGAAGCAGAAGGGAATACTGTAAAAAGTTTGTTAAATGTCCACTTTTCTTGCACGTAAAAAGGATTTTATGCACCTTTGCACCAATTCATATCAATGGTTTTTTTTAAAAAAAAAAAAAATCAAAGTGCCTAAATGAGTGCATATTAGAAGTTAATTGATAAAAACAAAAAGTAAATTTAGATATTGATTGCTGTCGAAAACTTAGTTGGGTTTTGGGGTTACTATTCTACATAATGTGTAGCATATTCAGTTTCATCTCTGTGTGCCGAGGTTTTGTTTTTATGGTTAACTAAACAAATACTTTTGTAAACTGTTCATTTGTGTATGTTATCGCCTGACTGAAATTTTTTTTTAAATTTTATAGAGGTATTCCTCCGAAGCAAGATTATTTTCTATACTATATTTCTTAAACTAGTATATACATCCCTGCGCGGTGCGCCAACCGTTTCAATATAAAAGAGTGGAGATAATTAATAAAAATAGATGTATATTGCATACTAAACTTTAAGAGTATTATGGTTATAAATATCAATATAAATATTGATATTATAGTCTTAGTTAACTGAATTTTAAGAGTGCTATTTATATACGTATATAAATCAAATCAATATAATTAAATTTTTTATATTATTATTAGCAGGTAAAACTCATAAAACGTTTCTTAGGTGTTTCCAATTGGTATAGAGTTATAACAACTAAATAGCAATAATAATTTGTAAAATTGGTCTATTCGCGCAGTAAAAAAATAATATTATTGTGTACGGGTAGAACCAGGGATAAAAGTTACCCTCGATTTCCCGATAAACAAACGAGAGGATAGTGCAACCCGATATGACCTCGAGTAGTACCGAGGGCACCTGCACCTCAGAGCCCGGGGAGGACAAATGGTGCACCCGGTATCGGACACAACCGAGCATCGGGTCCGAGCAGAGTGAAGGGCCGAGACTAGGGGAAAAGACGGCTAGAACCGATAACCGGAGAGCCTTACTATTCGCCCTTAACCTGATGTTACAGCGCAAATCTCGCCCGACATCAACTGCATATCAACGTTTACTGGAAGGAGAATATTTTTGTCACGACCCAAACCGATGGGCCGCTACGGGCACCTGGTACCTTACTCAATCGAGTACCAACATAACGCATCTTTTCATATCATACTATCATAGATAACTGAGCTGGAAGGCTGCCGTAAGATAAGTAGAATACAACATGTGGTACCAACTTATACATAAGACATACGGGCCTATAAGACCAAAATAAAAACTCGTATACTGAACATAGGCCGACAAGGCCATACAATATTTTAGGTAAAAATTGCACGGAGCGCCCTATTTGGTCGCCCCCTTTTAACCTATACCCATTTTCTTAAAAAGTTTTAACTTGTACCCACCCACTTTTTAAACAACTTCAGCCCTCCCCCCTCCTCCTCCTCCTCCTCCTCTTCTTCTTCTTCTTCTTCTTCTTCTTCTTCTTCTTCTTCTTCTTCTTCTTCTGTCTTCTGCTGCTGTTGGTGCTGCTANTGTGACCATACTCACCACACTCATAACACCTACACGAACGCTGCAGCTGAGGGAACTGAGGCTGACCATGTCGACCTGAATGACCACCTGAAGTACCATGAGTGACCTGGAGAGCTAACTGAGAAGGCCTGGGAGGATGGCCTCTACTATAAGAACCTCTACCTCCTGACGAGGTACCACTAAATCTGCCTGCATGACGGGGCCTCTTATCCGACCCATGACCACCTCCCTGTGGCAGAGTTATCTCAACTCTACGGCCCACATTGGCCGCCTCCTGAAAAGTGATCTCACTCCCGGCCTGAGCCACTATACCCGACTGACCTGCCACCGCTGGCGGAACCACTGGAAGCAAACCCGCTCGAATGACACCCTCTATGAGGTCTACCAATCGGACTAGAACGTCCTGAAGAACTGGGGTGGCAATGAACCCTTCCGGGACCTGAGCTGGGCCCACCGGAACTGCTGGGACGGGAACCTCCTCCTCAAAATCAACCTGAGGCTCCGCCACTGGGGCTGCTGCTGGGGTCTCGGACTGCTGAGCGGTAGATGAAGAAGCGCGTGTTCTCGCCATCTGCGAAAGAACAGAGTAGAAATTCAACCGGTGTTTGAGAAACAGAACCGCACGACAAGAAAGAACGAATGTGAAGTGTTTCCTAACTTTGTAGCCTCTGGGGGATAAATACAGACGTCTCCGTACCGATCCCTCAGACTCTACCAAGTTTGTCCGTGAGTTGTGAGACCTATGTAACCTAGTGCTCTGATACAAACTTGTCACGACCCGGATTTCCCACCCTCGGGAGTCGTGATGGCGCCTACTAATAGGAGCTAGGCAAGCCAATTATCGAATACCTCTTTTAGCGAACATCGACAATATTAACAACAATGAAGCATATAACGAATAAGGCGGAAGTCTCAAATAAAATTTACTAAAAGAAATGAGGAAGTTTAACAATCCTCTACCCAAGACTGGAGTCACTAACTCACGAACGTCTATAGAATACTACATACAAAGTCTGAACAAGGTACAATACTGTTTGCTTCGGTACAAGTGATAATAATTTGAATAAAATAGGAAGGGACTCCGGCCTGCGGACGTCAGCAAGGCTACCTCGAATGTCCCTGGACTGAAGTCAACTCCCAGTCAACTACTGCTGGTCCAAAAGCTACTCCGGTATCGCGATCTGTGCAAAAGAGCACAGAAGTGTAGCATCAGCACAACCGACCCCATGTGCTGGTAAGTGCCTGGCCTAACCCCGGCGAAGTAGTTACGAGGCTAGACAGGACTACCAAACAAACTTGTACAGATATATGCAATATAAGGAAAATATACAGAACTTAAACAGCTAGGGGGGGGGGGGGACATGCTATGGGGGCTGTAACAGTTAAAAATACAAAATCAATAAATAAGGAATGAAACGGTACAACTACAATAGTCAACGAGAGTAATAATCAAAACATGGCACGGAATGTTCCTTCGTGCAAATATAATCAAACATGGCACGGCATCAACCTTCGTGCTTTATCACTCTTCCTCACCCAAGCAACAATCACAAACAATGGGGCGAGGGGATAGACAAACAGTAATAGAAGTCCCGGCAAGTGAAAACACAAGTAAACAGCTAAATCCCGGCAAGGGAACAACAACAATAACTTTCACATCCCGACAAGGGAGAAAATCACTATACGAACACAGCCCGACAAGGGAATAATCACATTTCTTTCTCTTTCTTTCATTTCTTACTCAACAATTACTTTAGCATTCGAGCCAACGCTCCAAAGAGTTCACAAGTCATAATTCTTTCTCATACCCTTCACATTATATAGAAATCATCAATTATACAAGGAAGAGTCACAACAAAATCAAAATAAGCACAACTAAGGACTCACGGTCATGCTAGACACCGGTGTATAGATACTCGTCACCATGCCTATACACCGTACTCAACAATTAGAAATTAACAACAATACTCTAATCCTATTCCCTCAAGCCAAAGTTAGATCAAACACTTACCTCGGTCCAAAGAATAGCAATCAATCCTCAAATACCGCCTTTCCTCTACAATCCGACTCCGAAACAATGATATCTAGGTATAATTAATTCAATAGTATGAATAAAGACTCAATGGAAACATCCCATAGCCTAGATATGAATTTCCTAACATTTTTCCAAAAATACCAAAAATCGACCCCGGGCCCGCTTGGTCAAAACACGAGGTTCGAACCAATTCCATGTCACCCATTCCCCCACGAGCCCGGATATACAATTTGTTTTCAAATTCAACCCCAATACGAGGTCTAAATCAAAGAAAATTGAAAAACCCTAATTCTACCCTTTTCCCCAATTCTTACCATGAACTACATGATTTAGGTCTAGGAATTTGATAAATGATGATAGAAAATGAAGAAAACGAGTTAGATAATACTTACCTAAGAAGCTTTGATGAAGGATAGCTCTAAAAATTGCCTAGGTGCCGTGGAGAAGATGAACTCGTGTGTTTTGGGTGAAAAATCCCGTTAATGGTCTGTTTTTAGGCTTTAGAAATAACTGGGCGAATTTTCCCTATGCGATCGCGGAAATAGGGGTGCGATCGCGAACGGTCCCACTGACTGGTCATAGCGATCGCGTGGATGGTAACGCGAATGCGTAGAAGAAATACTGGGGGTCCAAAAGTTTGGTCTATGCGAACGCGAGTCTACTGGTGTGAACGCATTGAAGGAAATGCTGAAGCTATGCGATCGCGTGACCGAGTACACGAACGCGGAAGAGGAAAAAGCCAAAGGAACGCGAAGGCGGGCTGAAGATTGCGATCGCGAAGGAGGGAACAACTGTGCAAAAATTGCAGATTTTCTGCAACTTTCTCTAAGGCCAAAAACATCCCGAACCACCTCCGAATCACTCCCGAGCCCTCGGGGCTCCTAACCAAACACACACACTAACTCAACAGCCTCATACCAACTTAACCGAGCGATCAAATTGCCAAAACAACATCAAAATGAATGAATCAACCCTCAAAATCATCATTTTTCATTCTAACTTCATAAACTTCAAATTTTAGATATTTAGGTCCGAAACATGCCAAATGACGTCCGTTTTCGACCAAACTTTACAGAAAGCGCTTAACACATATTTAAGACTTGTACCGGGCGTCAAAACCAAAATACGAGCCCGATACCATAGTCTTTTAATCAATTTTCATTTCCATTTTCCTTAATAATTTCAGAAAAACAATTTCACAGAAAAATTCTTTTACTCGGGTTCTAGACCTCGGATTTCGACTCCGGGCACATGCCCGAGTCCCATATTTTTCTACAGACCCTCCGGGACCGTCGAATCACGGGTCCGGGTCCGTTTACCAAAAATGTTGACCGAAGTCAACTTTAATCATTTTAAAGCCACATTT